TTTCTGTCAGAGTCTCACTCTGTCACCCAGGCTGGAGTATATTAGTGTGGTCTTGGGTCACTGAAACCTCCATCTGCCGGGTTTAAGCCATTGTCCTGCCTCAGCCTCCCAAGTAGCTGGGACTACAGGTGTGTGCCACCAGACCCATCTAATTTTTGTATTTTTAGTAGAGACAGGGTTTTTCCATGTAGACCAAGCTGATCTCAAACTGCTGACCCCAGGTGATCTGACTGCCTTGGCCTTCCAAAGTGCTGGGATTACAGGCATAAGCCACTGTGCCCAGTCCATGTCTTTGTTATTGCAAACAGTGCTGTAATAAACATGCATGTGCATGTGCCTTTATGGTAGAATAATTTATATTTCTTTAGGTATATACTCAATTTGGAGGTTGCTGGGACAAATAGTAATTCTGTTTTCAGTTCTGTGAGGAATCGCCACACTGCTTTTCACAGTGGTTGAACTAGTTTACCCTTCTACCAGCAGTGTATAAACATTCCATTTTTTTTTCACAGGTGCTATAAAAAAATAAAAAATAAAAAACAAAAAAAGAGAAAAATAAATATTCAATTTTCTCTGCAACCTTGCCAGCATCTGTTATTGACTTTTGTTTTTGAGACAGAGTCTCACTCTGTCATCCAGGCTGAAGTGCAGTGGCGTGATGTCAACTCATTTTAACCTTCACCTCTTGTGTTCAATAGATTCTCGTGTCTTAGTTTCCCAAGTAGTTGGAAGTACAGATATGCACCACCAAGCCTGACTAATTTTTGTATTTTTAGTGAGAATGGGGTTTCTCCATGTTGGCCAGGTTGCTGTCAAACTCATGACCTTAAGTGATCTATCCACCTTAACCTCCCAAAGTGCTGGGATTACCATGCTCAGGCTTTTATTGACTTTCTAACAGCAATCAAAATGTGAGATGGTATCTCTTTATTTATTTATTTTTTAATTTCTCTAGTGGTTGCTGGTAAGCATTTTTTGCACATGCTTGTTAGCAACATGTTTGTCTTTTGAAAAACATCTGTTCATCTTTTTTGCCTACTTTTTAATGAATTTTTTTTGTAAACTTGCTTAACTTCTTTATGAATTCTGGATATTAAACCTTTATTAGGAACATAGGCTGCCAGTATTTTTATTTATTTGGTATGTTGTCTGATTACTCTATTGAGAGTTTCCTTTGCTGTGAAGAAGCGTTTTAATTTAATTAGGTCCCATTTGTCTATTTTTTTGTTGCAATTCCTTTTATCTTCCTCATAAAATCTTTGCTAGTTTCTATGCCTCGAATGGCATTTTCTTGGTTATTTATTTTCCAAGGTTTTAAAAATAATTTTTAAGTTTTGCATTTGTCTTTATCTTCATTTGATTTATATATATATGTATATATACGTATACATATATATGTATATATATGTATACATATATATACACATACATATATATGTATACATATATATATATTATAAGGAAGGTGACCAGTTTGAATCTTCTACATAGTGCTAGCTAGTTATTTCAGCACATTTATTAAATAAGTAATTCTCCCCACATTCTTTTTGTCAGCTTTGTCAAAGATCAGATAGATGGAGGTGTGTGGCATTATTTCTGGGCTCTCTATTCTGTTGCATTTGTCTATGAGTCTGTTTTTGTTCTAGTACCATGCTGCTTTGGTTACTACAGCCCTCTAGTGAGTGTGATTTGAAGTGGGGTAATGTAATACCTCCAGCTTTGTTCTTTTTGCTTAAAATTGCCTTGGCTATTCAGGCTCATTTTGGCTCCGTATAAATTTTAAAATAGTTACTTTTTTAGTTTTGTTAACAATATTTTTGGTAGTTTGATAGGAATAGCATTAAATTGGTAAATGTTTTTGGGCAGTTTTGATCGTTTTAGTAATATTGATCTTTTCTATTCATCAGCATAAAATGTTTTTTTCATTTGTGTGTGCCATCTCTGACTTCTTTAAGTAGTGTTTTGTTATTCTTGTTATAGAGATCTTTTACCTCCCTGGTTAGCTGTATTCCTAGATACTCTATATTCTTTTTGTGGTAATTGTGAACGGAATTACATTTTTGATTTGGCTTTTGGCTTGGATGTTGTTGATGTACAGGGATGCTACTGATTTAGTGTCCTAAAACTTCGCTGAAGTTGTTTATCAGTTTAAAGAGGTTTTCTGGCTGGGCATGGTGGCTCTTGTCTGTAATTACAGCACTTTGGGAGGCCAAGGCTGGGCAAATCACGAGATCAGAAGTTCGAGACCAGCTTGCTTAACATGGTGAAACCCTGTCTCTAAAAAAATTAAAATAAAATCCCTCTCTCCCCTTTTTTTTTTTCTTTTTTTTTTGAGACGGAGTTTCACTCATGTTACCCAGGCTGGAGTGCAATGGTGCCACCTTGGCTCACCGCAACCTCCGCCTCCTGGGTTCAGGCAATTCTCCTGCCTCAGCCTCCTGAGTCGCTGGGATTACAGGCACGCACCACCATGCCCAGCTAATTTTTTTTTTGTATTTTTAGTAGAGACGGGGTTTCACCATGTTGACCAGGATGGTCTCGATCTCTTGACCTCGTGATCCACCCGCCTCGGCCTCCCAAAGTGCTGGGATTACAGGCGTGAGCCACCGTGCCCGGCCATATATACTTTATTAATAAGTACATATTACACATTAAAATGATATGGACATATTGGGTTAACTAAATTGTTACAGTCAATTCAACCTGTTGTTTCTTTTTAAAGTTTGGATACTACAAAGTTTAAAATTCACATGCGGCTCACATTTTATTTCAGAGGATTGCCTCCTTTCTAAAATCTCGGCCTTCCTGCTCAAAGACCAGAAACTGAGAAGGTCATAAAATCTGAAATTTTAAAATAATTGTTATTATATTCTATTTGTAAATAGCCATATAAAATATTATTTGCAAATGCATATGACTTTGCACACCAGTTTAAAGGCTAATACTCTCTGTGGTGGGCCAGGCTCAGCTCAGGAAGGAAGCCCTGCCCGAAAAGGCTGCAGCCTAGGCTGTCTGTCACTTTTTCTTCACTCAGCCCAGCATCCGATCACATCTTCTGTCACTCAGGGCCTGAGAGGGTGGGGTTTCAAACGTTATTCAATCAGCGACGCTGGGCTGGGAACCGTCCAATCAGGCACGCAGCTGGAGCGGACCGGAAGGTTTCGGGAATGTGGCGCGGCCTTTGTCTCTTGCTGCTGGAGCTCCAGGTCTCATCTTCACTTCGCTGTGTCCTCTGCTCCTAGAGTACCAGCCTCTATGGTCCTGCGACCTGAAGGTATTGGGAGTTCCACAGCTACGACGCCGGGACCCCCTGGAACCCTAGAAATGGTGAGAGTGCCGGGTCGAACCTCCGGAGAGAGGAGAAAGGGCTGGTTGGAACCGGTGGGAAGTGGCTGTGGCGGGACTCAGGCCTCCCCGCAGTCGGCTCCACAGTCTGCTCCCGGAGTTCCTGCCCAGCTCCGCCTCAGTCCCCTTCAGCCATAAGATGGCGGCTGCGCTTACAGCCGGGCCCCGGTGTACTGCCTCTTCCCTGCGCAGTGACTGTGCTCTGGTCTGGAGCCATCCCTGGGCAGCTCTTCACCCGCAGCCGTCGCGTCTGTCCCAGATTGTGCAGGGACCACAGGAGGGTCGTCAGGGGAGAATCCTGACTCCGGGTGCGGGTTCCTTGAGTGTGAAGAGTTTTGGTCCGTCGGGTTCCCAGCTCCTCTTTTCTGTTAAAAATGTATGGGAGTCACCCTATTAAATAAATTAATCAAAGAGTGATTCTAAAATTGTCAAGCACCCTGCTGTGGTTTGTGATTTGTGGTTCATGGACGGGGCTTGAAGGAAAGAGTTTTTTTTTTTTTTTTGAGATGGAGTTTCGCTCTTGTTACCCAGACTGGAGTGCAATGGCGCGATCTCGGCTCACCGCAACCTCCGCCTCCTGGGTTCAGGCAATTCTCCTGCCTCAATCTCCTCAATAGCTGGGACTACAGGCACGCGCCACCGCGCCCAGCTAATGTTTTGTATTTTTAGTAGAGACGGGGTTTCACCGTGTTGACCGGGATGGTCTCAATCTCTTGACCTCGTGATCCACCTGCCTCGGCCTCCCAAAGTGCTGGGATTACAGGCTTGAGTCACAGCACCCGGCCCAGGAAAGAGTTTTATAAACTGCGTGATGCCCACCTTCTGAAGCCTGTTTCTGTGAATTCATCAGAAATAAAAATAAAAATAAATAAGCTGCATGATGAAGAAAACCAAATTCAGTAATTGGTTAGGTACGGTTATGTAGTTTCTTAATTTGTACAATAAAGGTGAAAATTTTCTGGTTATGTAATCCGAGGTTAATTGGCCGTTTATAGTTGGTTAAGGCTGAATTTTCTCTCAATGTAGTTATTTACTAAAAAATGCACCCCAGTTAGATTTTTTTTCAAAGTAGGAATCCAGGGACTAGAGACACATCAGTCTAATTGCCTGCCATTTAATTATTTTCACACTCCATGGGAAACTGATTTTCTGCTGCATTTTTCGCCTGTGTCCCAAGCAGTGTCTTAAGTCTAACCTCTATCCCTCATTTCTCCAGCCTCACTCTGGCTTGCAGTAAGATACTAAATTTCCAGTTTCATCTGGCATTCCCAAATGCCAGCTTTTCCTCCCTAATTTACATTATCAGCTATTTGTCTTTTAGTGTACTTTTCTATATCATATTAATTATTTTTTGCAAAGCATTAAATGACAGTTTTTAAGATTTGTTACCTGTTTGTAAATATTACCCATGAGAAGAAAGCAAAGAATAATCCCCTGACGCTGTATTATAAAAACTCTTCATGCCTCTTCTCCTTACATCTTCTCTAGGCACAGAGATCTTGGTAGAATGTTTTGGGTCAAGGTTATCCTTTGGAAT